CTCCCGCCCGCAGCGAGTACCACGAGCGCGTGCGCTCCCAGGGGCAGCAACTGCAGCAGCTCCAGGCCGAGCTGGATAAACTACACAAGGAGGTGTCCAGCGTTCGCGCAGCTAACAGCGAGGTGAGGCCTGCAGCCTCCTGTCTGTCCAAAGTGTCGTCCCGTGGCTCCGCACACTGCTCAGTCCAAGGTCCACCTTGGAAACCCCTTGCGGAGCCCCGTTCCCTGGGTCCCGAGCGGTAAACCCCGCCCCAGAGCCCTGACTTGGGATTTCTCCCAGGGCCCACAAAATCCAACCCAGAGAACCGAGTCCCAGAACTCTGCCCCCCGAAAAATCTGCCTGCAAGCTCCGTCCCTCCAGGACCCGCCCTCCCTCTTTTCAGAGAGTGGCCAAGATTGTATTCCAGAGGTTGAATGAAGACTTTGTGAGGAAACCCGACTATGCGCTGAGCTCTGTGGGTAAGACCCAGAGACACTGCAAGACAGACTCAGATACACGGAAAGGGGCGGAGACATTGACACAGACAGACCTACGCACATGCCCGGCCCAAAGAGACCGACCTCGGAGACCCTGCCCCAGCTGTCTGTCAGGCCTGGGAGCCTCTGAATGATGGCTTCTCCCTGCTCCAGGGGCCTCCATCGACCTAGAAAAGACATCACACGACTATGAGGATGCGAACACTGCCTACTTCTGGAATCGCTTCAGCTTCTGGAATTACGCGCGGCCGCCAACGGTTATCCTGGAGGTGGGCCTGGAACCTGGATCCCAGAACCAGACCGGGGGCGGGATGCTTGGGAAAGGACCGCACAGCTCCCTGGAGGTGGGACCCGGCGGAACTGAGGGCGTGGCGCTGGGCGGGGCCCTGCCTGGCAGAGAATGGGAGCGGTTGGGGGCGGGGCCTGGTGGTGCTAGGGACTGGGGCACCGAACAGGATCTGGCTGGACAGACACCCGGACTCCGGGTGGACGACTGGGCGGAGCCGACGAAGAGGTTGAGCTGGGGGGGACGGGGGGCTACCTGAACCAACGCCCAGGCCGGGGAAGGGCCGAGTAGCTCTGTCGGTGGGTTCTGAAGGTCTACCTGCTCGCCTGCAGCCAGATGTGTTCCCTGGGAATTGCTGGGCTTTTGAGGGCGACCAGGGCCAGGTGGTGATCCGGCTACCGGGTCGTGTGCAACTGAGCGACATCACCCTGCAGCACCCACCACCCAGTGTGGCACACACCGGGGGAGCCAACAGCGCCCCCCGCGACTTCGCAGTCTACGTGAGTGGGGCTGAGGCTAAGGAGGTGGGGGATTTTGCCTAGAAAGTACCAGTCATGGAAACTGGTGTCACTATCTGAGTCTTTGCTTCTTATCTATAAAATGGAGATACTACCACTCGCCTCTCAGGCCTATAGGTTATAATTACAATCATATCCAAACATTAGGTATGGCTTTATTGAGCACTTATTCTGTGCTTTGCTTTACATGGATCATCTCCTTGCATCCAGTCAACAACCTAAGAAATGCTATCATCTCCCCTCTCACTGATGAGGAAAGTAATGCTCAGAAAGGGGATCTTATTTGCCAAAGCCACACAGCTAACAATTGGCGGACTAAACTGCAACCTGGTTTCTTGGAGCCCTCATCCCACACTACACTACCCTAACACCAAAAAATAAATGAGAGCGTGCATACAACTACTGCCATTGTAGGTCCTCCATAAAGTTGCTTTTTTCCCTCTCCCACCTGTGCCTCACTGTTCCCTCTACTCACTCTTCACCCACCAGGGCCTCCAGATTGATGATAAGACTGAAGTTTTCTTGGGGAAATTCACCTTCGATGTGGAGAAATCAGAGATTCAGACTTTCCACCTACAGGTGTGTGTCTCTGGGGGTGAGGGTGCTAAAGGAATGGGACAGCAAAGGAAGACTGGAGAGGAAGGCAGCCCTTGGGACAGCAGGCCTTGGCATGATCCATTTGTCTCCCCAGAATGATCCCCCAACTGCCTTTCCCAAGGTGAAGATCCAGATTCTAAGCAACTGGGGCCACCCCCGTTTCACATGCTTGTATCGGGTCCGAGCCCACGGCATGCGAACTTCAGAGGGGGCAGGAGACAGTGCCACAGGGGAACCCCATTAAACATGCTCATTGTTGGAGTAGAGTGCAGGTCTGTGTTCAAAGAAGCTGGATCCATGCTTAGGTGGGGTGGGGAGGGCTCTGGTTGCCTTTGGTATATAAATATGGTGGTAGGGGGTCTACTTTCCAATGCACCCTCTTAATTTGGAGAAGTTCAGATCAATATAATAGCAGCTTATGTTTTTGGAGTACTTACCATGTGCAAGAGATGGTGCTCTGGACATTCTACACATTATCTAACTAATCCTAACCCCAGAGGGGGAAACCGCCCAGGTCACGAAACACTCAAGGGAACAGTGCCACAGTGGAACCCAAATCTACCTTCTTCCAGAGGCCACCCTCTGTAACTCAGAGCTGCCAGTCAGCCTGAAGCCATATTTGTGCACCTTGCTTCCTACCCCTACCCTCTGGGAAAGTCCCCCCAACTCCTGCTAGGTGCAGGTGGAGAAGTTAACTACCCCTTTTCTTGAAGTAAACACTCAAAAACTAAGGAGTCTTGAGAACCTGTAGGAAGCATCAGAGTCAGAGTTGATGGAGGCCTCTAGCCCCATCTCAGGCTGTCTTTACTGCAAGGCCCAGTACAAGTGGTGTAAGTGTTCATCGGTCCCTGCCATCAGGGAGCCTGACAGGAGGGAGGATGCTCCAGGAAACAATTTCTTTATTGATCCACGAATTCTTTACTCTAACGGTCAAAGTAGAATTGGAAGAATAAAAGATGGAGGAGACAGGCATCAAAAGATTAAGGAGTTCTACCTGGACAGAGAATAGAAAACGGGGACCAGCCTGAGCAAAGGAACATGCACCATCTTGCCTCTTAGGATCCTTCCCAGTGTGTTCATGCATTGAAAGTATATACATATAGATTATGAACAGCTGTTACATCTCTAGGAAGTGGAATGCATAAGTATGTGCATATCCATTCCTTTAAATTTTCAGGATATTACTTTTGTAATTTAAATTACTCCACTGAGGGGCGCCTGGGTGGTTCAGTTGGTTGAACATCTGCCTTCAGCTCAGGTCATGATCCCAGCGTCCTGGGATCTCCCTCCTGCTTCTCCCTCTCCCTCTGCCTGCTGCTCCCCCTGCTTGTGCTCTCTGTCAAATAAGTAAATACCAGATTAAAAAAATAAAATTAAATAAAATTAAATAAATAAATAACTCTACTGAGTGCTCTCAAAGCCTAAGTTTAGAAATATGAACTAATACAGCTTTTCTGGAGGACAGTTTCACAAGAGGAACCAAAAGCCTTAAAATTTTTTACATTCTTTAATCATAGTAATTCCATTTCTAAGAACGGAGCCGAAGAATATATCAATGTAATCAAAGATAATACTTTTAAGGATATTCATCACACTGTTGTTTATAAAGAGAAAACTGGAAGTAGTATATAAGATAAACCAATTTTTTAAAAAAGATTTTCTTTGAGAGAGAGACAGAGACAACACAAGCAGGGGGAGGGGTAGAGGAAGAGGGAGAAGCAGTCTCCCCGCAGAGCAGGGAGCTTGACGTGGGACTCGATCCCAGGACCGCAGGATCATGACTCGAGCTGAAGGCAGACGCTTAACCAATTGAGCCACCCAGGCACCCCACACAAGAAGATAAATTATGCTACAAAAATGCGTCCAAAAGAAATGGTAACATTTAAGGGAATGTTTAATATCATGGAAAATAATTAATGATATATGGATAATTTCTTAAAAAGCAAGCTAGATTGGTATACATAATAAACTTCCATATCAAAAGAGTTCTATGGATCAGAAGATACTATAAATGAAAAGGCAATAACTTGGGAGGAAATATTTTCAACATGTATAAGAATAAAGGCTTAAACAACAAAAACACCTATAAATAGGCTATTCAGAAGAAATATAACTCACAAACACATGAAATGGTACCCTGCCTTCAAAATTAAATAAATTCAAGCTAAAAATGAAAATATTTTTTGCCTGTCATGTTAACAGATAAAGGGACAAAAAACTGTTATGGAGGGCAATTTACAGTATCTATTAAAATTTTAAATATGCACATTCCTAGCATTTCTACTTCTAGGAACATCCTTCAGAAATATTGTGGTAAATGTACAAGGATATTCATTACAGCACTTCGTAATACTGTAAAATTGGAGGGGACCCAAATCTCAATAAATAAGGGATTGGCTAAATAAGCTATAAGATACTCATACACAGAATAATATATATGCATTAAAAAGAATAAGGTCACCAATAAGTTCTAATGGGTAAGACACCCAACATGTTATAAAAACAAGGTGCGAAGAGTATGTATAATATCCTTAGGGAAAAAAAAGGTCAGACCTAGGAAAGAAAGAAACCCTCACCTGCTCTGTTATCTTATACAGTATTTATATTTGAAATAATTTTGTACTAACTAGCATACATTTTAAAGCATCTTAAAATAGTATGCATATGATCCCATTTTTGTAAAATAAAAAAACAGGTATATAGTTTTGCATGACGGACTAAAAAATATGCACTGAATATGTTTTTGGCACATGGGAGTTTGGATATTATTTTTTCTGTATTTTTTCTTTTATATGAAAATACATATTAATTTTCTAGTAAGAAAAAAATTAGCTATTAAAAAGATTCAGGTTTGTAGCCTATCTTTAGGATTTGAACCACCACTGCTCCCTCCTTGTCTGTGTTCCCAGCTCAGCCCTGTCCTAAGGCAGGGCAGGCTGGGTGTTTGGCTCACACTCAATCCTACAGAAGTGTCTCTAGACTTCTGGCCTGGAATACCCAATTTCTTTGCCTAGGGCTATGATGTCAGAGGTGTCCTTCACTCAGCAACCTCTAAGGGGGATAAACTGAGACTCAGGGAAAATAAACACGGCTAATAGTAAATTCCCACTCAAAAACACAGAGTGGTGGCAAAGCAGTGGTCTTCACTGATCTTTATTAAATGAAGGATTCCAGGGGCAAGCAGGAGGGATCAAGAGCAACAGCAGGAGCAAATATAAAAGTATAAAATGTAAAGTGCAGCACTGGGCAATGTGTGCAGGACTGAGCCATGCCCACAGGGACCTTGGGGACACAAGGCTGAGGACGAGCCACAGCCAACCCTCTAAGGGAATCTAGGCCTGAGGAGCCTGTGCAGGGCTCTTGGCTGGCAGTGGAAGTGGCTTGAATGGGGCCCAACCTTGGGCCTTGAAGTAGGAGACCAGTTGTGTGGGTACTTCTGCGAGCACAGTCTGTGCCAGTGTCTCCCGAGGGGCCTGCCAGAAGAAAAAGAGCAAGGTCAGTGGTGATCCGTAACAGCTTCCCAAAGTTTACATTTCATACCCAAAAAAGGATACAAAGGATATAAACCCCAACACCCAACCCTGCCCCACCGCAAGGGTGAGTATCCCCACTCAAGAGAGGGAGAGGGGTAAACTCCCAGATCCGGTCTGCCCCCAGGCTTGCCCCCACTCACGTTCTGGAAGCGGCGGTAGGGCACAAACTGCACTATGTCACGGGCAGCTGTCTCCCCGGAGCGTGCACGCAGGGGTCCACCATCAGCATCCAGCTGCTCCATGGCCTCAAAGTCAGCACCACCCACACCCACGATGATCACTGACATGGGCAGGTAGGAGGCACGCACCACAGCCTCACGTGTAGCCTCCACATCTGTCACAGCGCCATCAGTCAGCAGCAACAGCACCAAGTATTGCTGGGGATAAGTCCATTCACAAACTGAGGCAGACCTTCTAAACACCCCAGCCACACATTCCCATACTGATAAGAAGTCTCTTGTTACATATCCCTGAAGGGAACCCTTGACCAAGACAGCACACCACCACCACTACCTCCCATGATCCTCACCGAGGCAGTCCTCTGATGTGCAGCCTGGGTTGCCAACCTGGCCACATGGTTGATGATGGGTGCAAAGTTGGTGGGGCCATAGAGGCGAACTTGGGGCAGGGCTTGGCGGTAAGCATCCACAATGCCCTGGATGCCTAGAAAATGAAGGCAAAAAACACTGTAAAATACCAATCCTGACATCACCCCACCCTGGCCGAGGAGATTTGGGAACCTGGGTGCATTTCATTCAATCACCCCTATAACCCAAGGTACTTAACTTTATCCTACAGATGGGAGAACTAAGAACAAAGAGAAGGGCACTTGCCCTAAATCACAACTTGAGTTAAATCTGATTAAGGGGATGCCCTGAACAAATCTAAGATAGTTAAGCATCAGATTATAACCCACTTAATAAAATAATGAATTATAATCCATATAATAAGAATCCCTAGATAATTAATTAATGGGAAAGAAGAGGAAACTCTTAATAAATGTAGGAGGAATTACAAAATCTTTGACAATCACTGATTGCAAAGATCATCAATAGGTGCTAAAACTATAGGGTACTAGTTAATGAGTAACTAGGTTTTTTTTTTTTTTTTTATTTGACACAGAGAGAGACAGCAAGAGAGGGAACACAAGCAGGGGGAGTGGGAGAGGGAGAAGCAGGCTTTCCGCAGAGCAGAGAGCCTGATGCAGGGCTCGATCCCAGGACCTTGGGATCATAACCTGAGCCTAAGGCAGACGCTTAACGACTGAGCCACCCAGGCGCCTCTATGGATATAGCCTCATGCTATCTTCCCCACAGATACTTATTAATTACAAATAGCGGACAAACCTGGTAGATTCTACCTTTTTTTTTTATTTTTATTTTTTAAGATTTTATTTATTTATTTGAGAGAGAGAGAATGAGAGATAGAGAGCACAAGAGGGAAGAGGGTCAGAGGGAGAAGCAGACTCCCTGCTGAGCAAGAAGCCCGATGTGGGGCTCGATCCCGGGACTCCAGGATCATGACCTGAGCCGAAGGCAGTCGCTTAACCAACTGAGCCACCCAGGCGCCCTGGTAGACTCTACCTTAACCAAGTGATCAAGGTTAACAAGACTGGTAATAGGATAAATCAACATCAGGGCCTCCTGACATGGGGTACTGAGAGAACACATAGCATCGTTTCTGTAATATGCCCACCAAAAGTGCATAATCTGAATCTAATCATAAAGAAGTATCAGGTAAACCCAAACTGCAGGACATTCTACAAATTATCTAGCCTGTAATTTTACAAAATGTCAATATCGTGAAAGACAAGAACAACTCTGGAAGACAAAACAAACAAATGCATTATGTGATCTGAGATTTTCTTTTACTGTAAAAGACAACTGGCAAAATGAATAAATCCTAGATTGGATAATGGTATTGATGTTAACCTCCTGATTTTGAGAACTGTACTGCAGTTACATAAGAGAATGTCTTTGATTTTAGGAAACATACACTGAAATATTTAAGGGATGAAGGGTGCAAAGTTGGTGGAGCCACAGAGGCAAAGTTGGGGCAGGGCATATTCACTATAATTCTCAAACATTTCAGGGAAAAAAAAATGTGTATACACACACATAAATATATACATGTACATACATATGTAGACATATGGCTGTATCTATATACATGGGGGGGCAGGGAGGGAGCAGAAGGGAGACAGAATCTGAATGACAAAGAAGGTAAACAATAGCCCCTGTGACCCAGGCCCTGACCACTGAGCTCCAATGACCTAAACCCCCTATAACTACTCTCACAACTTTTCTCTAAGTCTGAACTCAGGTCAAAAACCCAGGTCAGATCAGGTCAAGTTTTCCCCTTTAGTTTGTTGCCCATGTGGGGGTACTAGGGAATCACAAGGTTTGGCCCTCTCTAGACAAAAGAGCTTCGGCAAAAAGCACCCTGAAAAGAGCTGCACCAAGGCTTCCACTGATGCCCAGACAGGTACCAGTGAGCTTCCAGGCAAAGGTAACAATAACAGCTACCATTTTTTAGAGAGCGCTTAGTATGTGCCAGGCTTACTGCTTCAAAGTCTGTATGTATCCTCTCCTTAAATATTCAATATCCTACAGTATTTATCGTTTTTATGAAGCCAAAGCACAATGGCCCCAAGTCACATGGTTTCAGAAAGAGGCAAGATAAAGACTTGAGACCTAGATTTGAGTCCAGAGACCTAGCTCTAAAATCCACTACTCTGGACAATGGAGTCAGGTATCTGCCCCATTACCCCCACACTCCCTTGTCTGCATAGGCTTGGCCTTCTAGGTGTGGACAGATCTGCCTTACGGTGGAGGTTGAAGGAACTTACCTGGGCAGTAGGGGTTACTGGGGTTGAAGTTCAAGGCAAATTCATGGGAGACCTGAGGGCAAGAATGAAAATGAGGTTCTTTCTCCATGACCATCTATGTGCAAAGAAAAAGGACACTATGGTATATTCCAAGCATTGTATAGGAGCTATGTAGTCCTGAACATGTTATACACATGCCTGCAGGGATACATCCCTGCATCTCCACATAAAGTTGGGTGCCACACAGCAAGTCGACCACATCCCCCCAAATCAGGACCCTGACACTGAAAATAGGAGTTGGGGAGGCAAAAAGAGTGCTCACCTGCCAATCGGGGGGTACCTGGGCCCCAAATCCAAATGCTGGGAATAGCTTGTCCCTGTGGGAAGACAGTGAGTGGGAGAAGAGACAGGAGGGGACTGTGAGCCCAGAGGCTTAAGCATCTGCAGGGAGGGGAATGGGCAAGAGAAAAGTTACTCACGAGTCATAGTCCTGAATCACACTGCCCACACTCCACAGTGCTGTCAGGTACTCGTTGACCCCTGTTGGGCTCAGGTAGTGCAGGGATTCCGGGGAGGAAGGATCTCCATTGGAGCCCGTGAAGTCAATGCCCACCTAGGAGGGGAGGAGGGGAGCTGAAGACCACTCTGAGACCCAGATCTGTTCTCTTATCCCTGATAAAGCAACTTACAGTGAAGTTGATTTGACAGCCTCCCATCACATAGTCCAGGAATGAATACTGTGTTTCTACCTGCAGATGAAACCAGGATCATGGCTGGGGTGAAGGGATTGGGGCCATGGAGCACAGGGATCAGAGCCTGGGTCACATGGGCTATTGCCTCACCTGGCAAATCTTGACACAAACAGTCCCAGAGTTCTTGTAGCTTTTCTTTTTCTGCTGTTTCTCAGGGTGGATACATTCAAACTCAGCCTGGTGAGGAAAGAAAAATTAGGGTAGGAAACTCCCAGAGCATCACCTGGAACTGGCCTGCCCTCCCTCTCTCCCTGAGGCTACAGTCCTTTAGACCCACCTTAACACCCCTGAGCAGGGCTGGCACTCACCGGAACTGCTTGCAGCTGGGCCAAGCTGGTGTAGAAGGTGCCAATGAGATCATGTGAACCATCACTGTCATAGTCTGAGCATCGCACCTGTGTGGGTGGGGGGAGTGGGGGAAGGTGTGTATGTGTATACAGAGACCAGGGGTAGGGGGCAGGTAAGAATAAATCCTTCCCCATGTCCAGTCAGGAGGCAAACTCCTCACCTGAATGGGTGTGCTGGGGTCTCCCCCACAGAAATGCTGAAAGGGAACAGAGAAGCGCTTCCATGTAGGGTTCAAGTTGTTCTTGATTACCTGAAGGTGGAGAGCAAGGCCTCTAGTGAGCTCTGGGCTGGCATATGGGGAGCTGTCATCCTTCTCTATCCATATGCAGTTTCTTTCTCCCTGTTCCAAACCTTGGTAATCACAAGCCCCAGGAGAGTCTCTCCTACCCCACTTCACCCAATCCCAGGGGTCTCACACCTCAGATCTGTATGCCAGGTGCCATTTCCCATCACCCTGACGGAAGAACTCCAAGAACGGGTCCGATTTCCCCAGGAAGTCCTGTCAATGCCACAGAGACCCCAGTATAAGACTCAGGGAGAGACAACCATTTTGCCAGTCCCCAACCCCGCCCCCCCTTAGTTCTTAAACCCCCAGGAACACCATCCCTGTCCCTTAATTCTTAAACCCCCAGGGCTTCCTTCTAGACACACCTTCTTATCTAGGTTTCTGGCCTCCACCTCCATGGTCACTATACGATTATCCTTCATCTCTTGAGCAGATACCTAGGAAGGGGAGGCAGGAGACTGTATCCCCTCATGAATTCCTCATTGATGTAACCCTCCTCCCCTACAGAGTTCTTCCTTACCGTGATGGTCCCCCGCCCAGCAGGTTTTCCAGGCTTCAGCATCAAGGGTAGAGTTATTATCTGGCTGGACACAATCTGGGGCAAAGCAGGGGTGGGTGGGGGAGCAAAATCTCAGGCAGGGTTAGGTCTTGCTTGACCCCCACACATTCCAGACAGTCTGGGCTGTTAGGGCTCTTACGGAACATATGTCTAAAGTATTTTAATCCCTAGCCCTACATACCTGTCCTAGGGAACACTCAGCCCCTCCTAGGAAGTCATCATCCCCCAGCTCAGGTGTCTTGTTGTCTATGTCATAAATGCCAAATCGGAGCTTCTGGACTGTTTCAAAGTGGTACTCAAGCTGCAGAGTCTTGGAGAACTCGGGGCTCGAGCAGTTCCGTACTCGCTCAGTTCGGCCAAGCTGTGGGCAGAGGCCAGTACCATCACAGTCACGCACCCTCTACCCTCAAAACAGTTCTGTCCTCCACAACTTTAACCCCCAAGGCCCTTCTCACCTCAGCCCAGCTGCCCCCTCCCACATCCTGTAAAAGGACGCAGAGTGGGTCAGACTTGGAGCCGATGTCCTTGTCAATGAGGTGGTCACAGGAAATGGATAGTTGAACCAAGGTCACGCAGTGGGCCATCTGGGAAAAAAAGGACCTGAGTCAAGCATTGAGGATCCTTCTCTACCCTTCCCTGACTATATGTCCCAGCTTGGGAAGGCCAGCAGGCTTCCCCCAGGCAGGGCTGAGCCTGTATCCAGCTCCATGACACCGAAGAAAGAGAAGGCCTTAGAGCCTCCATACTCCTCTAATCCCCTCAGGTGAGCTCAACGGGACAGGACATGGTGAGTACAACCAACCCTAATATGATGGGAAGATGCAGAAAAAGTATATTGGCCTTCATCAACAACTTTGAGCCCAAACTGGTCCTCACCCCAAAAATCCCATTATAGGATCCCAAGACCCAGAATCCAACCCTGATCTTCTGAGACCAATGAATCTCACTCTGACCCTTTACTGGCCCCAGATCAGACCCTAATCAAAATTCTAATCCCAACATGACCATGATCCAGATCCAACTCCCCAAAAAAGTTCCTTCCACCAATGGTTTGTCACTACCTTTCAGGCCCTGCATCTTGAGGTGGTGGTAGGATCCCAACTGATTCTCCTAGTGGGTAATCAGCTACTCATGGCCAATCACTAGTCTCACTGCCACTACCCAGTCCAAGGCACCGGGCTTAGCGCATTAGCCTCTTTAACTGGTCTCCCTTATCCTACGCCATTCCCACCTCCACCCTCACACCAACAGACTATTCCCAATACAGCAACCAGGTGATCCTGTTAAAACGTAGGTCAGGGTATGTTACACATCTGCCCAAACCCTCTAATGATTTCCCATTACTTAGAAAAAATGTAAGTCTACCATGGTCTCCAAGGTTTTGAAAGATCTAGATCTCTCTAACCTGATTTCCTAACACCTCTCTTGCTCACTCCATTCTGAACACACAGGTCTGCTTGCCTGCCATTCCTCCAATAAGCTTGTTTCTACCCTCATATTATCCACATGGCTTGCTGTTTCCCCACTCCCTCTAAGTCTTTATTCAAAATCATCTTCTTATTATGAAGAAAAGGCTCTCCTTTTCTAGGTACTTGAACATTTCAACCTTACTACTACTGACGCATCACATACCCGTTTCCTGCTTTTTCTTTTTAGCATTTATCACTGATTGTCTAATATATAACCTCTCTTCCCCACTAGAATGTAAACTGAGGGAAAGTAAACGTGAGGGAAGGGATATCTGTCTGTTCTGTTTATTGCTCTATCCCAAGCACCTAGATAATATTTGCTGAATGAAATCCAAATGGCCATCTTCAGCCTCAGCTCCCAGCCCAGCCATCTCCAAACTGGCAATCAAGGAGCACCAACTTTTCCAATTTACTCATCTCCTCGGCTGAACCACTATCTTCTTGCACAGATCACCATAACTCCCATGTAGCCCCTCCTCCTACAGTCCCCATAACAATTACCCTCAGACTCCTTACTATCCCTGCGTCCCGCTGACCCATACACCTGCAGACTGTACCAAAAGTGCAGATGACATCACACCTCTCACCCAGCTTCACTCAGCACTCCAGGTTCACTATACCCCAGGATGCCTCCAGCCTTAGCCTCCCCTAAACTGACCCTCAGTCAATCCTTCCCCCAACCTAGCCCACAGCGCTGTTCCCATCTTGGCGCCTCATGGTCTCCATCTGGGGTGCTATTATCAACCAACATTGGAATGACTCTTACACTTTGGCTTGCTTCACATACTGCCTGCTCTTAGCACCTCAGTCTCTGCTTGAAAGCATCCAACGATGGAAAATCCACCACTCTTCTAATCCATTTCGATAGTCCTGCTCCATAAAGTCCTACCCAAACCAACTCAAGTCTGTTGGAATTCTCATTTCTACCTATTTGTCCTATTTCTCCCCAGCCTAAACTTCCACAAGGAAAGCCTTATTCCATCTCCTTCTGAGAACCCATCTGATACTTGGAAGCAGTGAAATCCCCAGCTAAAATCTGGAATAAGAGCCCCAGTTCTTTTCAATGTTGCCCCTAGAATGTGGCTTGTAGACTCTGACCTGCCTGTCCATCCCCACTTTGGAAGTTCCCTACAAACAGATCCAGAGAAAAACACATACTCCCAAAGGAGTGGGACCACAACTTCCCCAAGTCACAATCTGACTCCATGCTTCTCACTTCACATGTTCTCTGAGGCAGTGTTTGCACAGAACGGAAACAAACGAAGAATGTTCATTTCATTATTGCTGAAACCAGTAAAACACCTGAGAATGCTTAAAGGTCTATCTATTGGGTACTAAGTAAATTATGGTACATTAAAACAATGGAATGCTGAGCAGCAGGTAAAATACAAGGCAGAACTATATTATATTGGTATTATATGAAAAAATAAAGTCACAAAAAATGGTAAGAAAAGTATGACTCCATTTTAAACTTCAACTGTATGTGTATATACAATAGATTTGAATAGGTACACAAAATAAATATACAGAAAAATGGAAGGCACACGAAAAATTGCAACTTGGAGGTACACCTCAGGGAAGAGGAATGAAGGTGAGGATTTTATAATCTCTATACACTTCTGTATTATTTCAATATTTTATAGTTTATTTTGTGTTTTTTAAAGGACTTCATTAGCTTTTTTCCCCAATCCACAACTCAAGTCCTCTTGACTATTCAAAGCCCTCTGGTTTAACAACCCCTAATTTCAGGGCTCAATGTCTCTTGCCTCCTCACTGGCTTCTCCTTAACAATGTCTCAGCTAGTCTTCCTTGTGTCAGCTTCCAGAGTTTCTATCTTAACTAGAAGTCTTACACAGATGCCCATGGCCCTTAGGTTCAGAGCCAAACTCCCTAGCAATGCCACTTTGTAGCACAACTCCAGAGAGTACACCTGCACAGAATTCAGTAATTGTGTAATATGGTGACCCTGCATCCCTAATTCAACCTTCAAAGCCCTTCCCAGTCTGCTCTACCTCCTGCTATTCCACCACCCAACCAACTAGTCATCCAAAGCTATTTCTGGTTCCTGGAACATACACACGCTGATACCTCTCAAATGCCTTGTCATCCAAAGTTCTGCTATATTACTGCTTTGTGAAGCCTCGCCCACATTCCCCAAGTAAAATTTATTATTTCTCCTCTAGAAGATGGTTTCCTCATCATCTTCCTTCAAACACACACACACTTCTGTGTTTATTAGCCAAACAGAAACTAGACCATACCATTTCTCTGTTTAAAACTCTGGAATGGCATCCCCAAACACTCAAAAGTCCAAAGTTCTTACTGTGATCTACAAGGCCTTCCCTGAAAGACCTGACACTTAACCAATCACCTAGCCATGCAAGTATGTTCCAGCCAGGTTCCATTTCTGACCCACATACACACAACATCAATCTCACTCCGTTATCAGAGCTTCTGCACTGTCTTCTTCCATAGATACCCGAGAAAACAAGCTGTATTAGAGTAGGAACCATGTCTGGTTTGTCTAATCTATCTCCAATATCTATAACAGTACCTACCCTATAGCAGGTACTCAGTAAATTAAATATTAGTGATATAACATTGAAACTGCCATATCAAAATTTTGACTTCTGTCTGTCTACCCTCATAATCTATGGGCTCCTTGGAACTAGGGCTGGGTATTATTGCTGTATCCCTAGTATCAGGGCTTAGTATGTAGTTAGTACCCATAATCATTTACTGAATAAATGGTAACATTTGCTTTTGCTCAACTCCAACTTTGAGGCCTTTTCCATTTGAAATACCGTCCCAGCAGTAAGTCTTCTCTATCCTTATCTTATACAACTGAGCTTTAAAACTTAAATTCAGGACTCCTGGAACTCAATTAAGTGACAAATTTGAAATGGGCAAAAAAAAATTTGATCAGATACTTCATAAAAGAAAATAGATGAATTGGAAATATGCAAAGGAAGAGTGATCAACAGCAGTAGTCATCAGGGAAATGCAAATTAAAACCACAAGATACTATCACATACCCACTACAATGGCTAAAAGTAAAAAAACTGACAATGCCAAGTATTGGCAAGGGCATGGAAATCTCATACATTGTTAGTGAAAGCATTAAATATACCACTTTGGAAACTGTCTGGCAGCTTATTAGAAAACCAAACACACATCTAGTCCAAGAGCAATTCCACTCCTAGATTTTTATCCAAAAGAAAACATTATGTCCACAAAAAGATTTGTACAAGAATGTTCATAGCAGCTTTATTCATAATAGCCAAAAATTTGAAACAGCTCAAGTGTCCATCAATGAGAATGAATAAACCAACATGTTTATACATGTATTAGAAAACTGCTCAGTAACAAAAAGAAACAAACTATTAATATCTGCAACATGGATGAATCTGAAGCATAAAATACACAAATTCCACTTATAACGTTTTAAGACAGGCAAAACTAATCTACAGCGAAAAAAATTCCGAATACTGATTGTTCCTCTCATGTCCCCCAGGGGAGGGGCAGGTATCAACTGAGAAGCAACAGGAGATAACTCTAGGGGGAATGGAAAAGTTCCTTGATAGGAATGTGAGTCATGAATGCATTTTTCATTTTCATCTAATGGTACACTTAAGGTGTATATATCTTATTTTATGTAAATGTTACCACCTCCCCCTGCCCAACAATCCTGTACGAAATAATGAATGCAAGACATGTTGAAATACGTATGGGTGAAGTGTGATGTTTGCAATTTTCTTGAAATGCACGAAAAAAATAAAATGGATGGATATGTGGTAAAACAAATATAGGAGCATTTAAATTGTAGAATCTATTTCCTGTATAATTTTTTCAACTTTTCTGTACGCTCAAAGTTTTCACAATAAAATGCTGGGGAAAAATTTAAGTGGAGGACTCAAAGTGGAGAACTCTGGGTTTATCCCTGACACTTTGTTGAGAACTACAAAAGTATTACCAGTAATTATCTGTGGTGGTGAGGTTACAGGCAACAAAGGGAGCTGCTGCCTTTTCCCTCACTCTGACTTCTCAGAAGATCCCAGGGAGAAGCTTTTGATCTGGGGAAGACACATTGGCAGTGGGCCAGGTGGCTTCTTCTG